AAATTGAGAAATCACCCCCCAGGGGGGGTGGTCACGCCGCAATCCCTTCTCCTCCATTCTCCTCTTGGGATCTTGGGCACGCACGCACACACGCCCGGCGTGAGTTTTAAGCCACTGGGTCCGGGACGTGAACCGCGGTCGACTACGTGGGAGTCCAGCGACATAGCCATTATGCTAACTGCTGGTTCCCTGTAATATTACATTTTTAAAAGTATATACCAAAGCAACTGGGTGTAGAGTCCAGGTACAGATGAATGGGAAGACCCAGAATAGACAGGAACACAATACAAAACCATTCTCCTGGTGAGAGTGGTCCCAATAGTTGGGACTCATAGAGTAGTTTCCTGGTTAACTCACACTTTACATGATTGCTCACACTTTAATGAGCTAAAAACCACCACAAGATGAGACATGTCCCACTAACTACTTTTACTTAAAATCTTTTGAGAAGTAATTCTACATGTCAGCCTGGCCAGGCGAGCTGCACCACAGTGAGTGATCTCTTCTTGAACCACGACCTGAGAACCAGAAGAAAGTCCAAGTGGCTGTTTCTTACCCTCCTGTGTTGCTTCATTTTGTTTTGTTTTCCAGTTGGATGGAGATGGGGTGAAGAGAGATAACCTATTCTACAGAACCCTGGCCTTTTATCTTTGGTTATTGGATCCTAAGAAATATTATGGCAAACCTCTTTACTATAGAAAAATATTTAGGAATCTGAACACCGAGATAGTGAAGTTCACATTCAACACAGGAAGCCAAGTTTCAAGCGGGCAGAAGGAAAATCTCTACTTCACCCCAGAATTTCTTCTCTGCACCTTCCAGCCAGAACGGGCACTTTGTTTGTGTGTGTGCTTGTCAATTGTAGGTTCTAAATTTAGGACCTATGTTGAAATTTTTTTTTAACTTCACTTTGAATTCATTTTAGCTTTGGGAGCATATATATTTAGCTACTGCCAGTTCACTCCTGGGTAGGACTAGTAGCTAAGTCCATTTTTTTTCTCTTAAGTTTCAATGAATTTTCTCTTCTGAGGATACAGGTTTCTTTTAGACCAAAATGAGATATTTTGCCATCACCTGTATGAAGGAAAATAACTTTTTTACATATACTAAAATTCTTTTGAAAGAATCAAAAATAAAGGAAAAGGCACAAGTGAGAAATATCTGGAGCCATTTATAAAATTATAGCAATGAGAAAGCCAACAAATGTTTTCTCAAGGTGCATCATGGCACCTGGTAGACGTTTGTTAACTTAATATCCATGCCATTCTGGAGCGACCTGGTGCAGTGGTTTAAAACATTACTTTAGAGTCAGACTGCCTACTTGCAAATTCTGGATTTCCTACTTGTTGATTGTGTGACTCTATGTAAGTGACTCGGGTGCTTTTTTTTTTTTTTTTTTAAGGTTTTTTCCATAGGGCACATGTGCTGACCTGAGACAGAGAGAGACAGTGAGGCAGTAAGGAACCCCCCCACACCCCGGGGGGATGTCCACATCACAATCCCTTGTCCTCCAGTCTCCTCCTGGGATTTTGATATGCACGCCTACGTGCTCTATGTAATTTTCAAGCCACTAGGCCTGGGATTTGAACCCAGGCCGACCATGTGGGAGTCCAGCACCTTAGCCACCACATGACGTGCTGGCCCCATCACTTAAGTGCTTTATGTTTCATTACTAAAATCAGAATGTTAATAATGATACTTACATTGCATGCTTAGAGCAATGCTTAGATCACAGCAATCACTCAGTGAAAGTTTAGCTTATCATTGTTCCCCGTTTTCAGATGGAGAAACTGAGGGGCAGAGAAATTCAACTTAGTCAACTTACCACAGCAAGTAAGTAGTAGAGTCAGGAGCAGTAGAGTTAAAGTCCCCATTTTCAATGACAATGTTCAAGTGTTCTAAAACCCATGGTTAAATGGTTGTGAATCAACCCAGCTCCACAGGGAAATTCCAACCCTGGCAGATGTTTTAAAAAGCAGCTCTGGGAACCAGCAGATGGTGTGTAATGGTTACGTCCCTGGACTCCCACGTAGTCACGTTTGAGTCCTGGACTTGGCAGCTTAAACTCACATGTACGTGTGTGCCCAAAATCCTGAAAGGAGAGTGAAGAAGGGATTGTGGCATGGCCATCTCCCCTGGGGGGGTGTTATTTCTTGCTTTCTGTGTCTCTGTCTTTCTTTATCTCTCTGGTGAGTGTACATGTGAGTGTATGTGTCTTATAACAAAAATTTCTCCCCAAAAAAAGCAGCTCTGGACACTCAGAAAAGGATCTGCAGAATTACAAAAAGGCAAAAAGAGGAATTTGATCAGTAAGAAAAAAGTCACCATTCTCTCAGTCAAAACTGTCCAAAGGCTATTTGTCTGATTTATTTTTGTTTTTGGCTATTTTGTGAGTTGGGAGAAATTAGGAGTGTGCACTTAAATCTCATTACATGTCATTTTATAGCCTGTTGAAATGTGTTAACCATAGGTATTCTTATTGCAAAGTATAGGTTCAATAATTCTTACATAATACGTTATTGACGTGTTCACATGTAATTCTACCGTAAGTAATCTTCCAGTTATTACAATACTTTTGGCAGAATGAAGCCTCTGAAACTATTCCAACTGTGATTTTGGAAGCCAATTTGGGTGAAATGGGAGAGCTGGCAATTGTCCTAGAAAAGCTTATTGTACTATGGTATGCCACTTTTTTCATTAAGAAATTCAATGTCCTGGGGCAGCAGGTGGTGGAGTGGTTACAGTTCAAGTCCTGGACCTGGCAATTAGAGAATCATGCAGGACACGTATGAATAAAGGAGAAGGGGTTGTGATGTGGCCATGCCAGCGGGTGATTTCTCACTTGTCTTGTCCTCTCACTGTCTGTTTCTCTCCAGCAAGCACATATGCCTTATGGAATAAAAGAGAGAGAGACAGAGAGAGAGAAGAGAGAGAAATGCAATGTCCTAAACTGATCACTTTATAAAATTCATGTCTGAACCACAATTCGCAAAATTTTCCTTGCAACTATCTTCTGCATTTTTCCGTATTAATAAAAACCAAAGTCTTTCCTTTAGTTTCTCAGAGCGTAAACATTGGCAACATCTTGATTCTTGATTTGCTATCACAGCTCATATCTACTATATCAGCAAATCCTATGGGCTTGTTTTTTTCCCAAAATATATTCAGAGTGTGAGCACTTTTTTATCATTCCCCTCTGCCTTCGCCCTGCACCAAGCCCCAACCATTTCTTGCTTGAATTATATTGCAAAAACTTCCTAACCACGATCTACCCTTTCCCAACTTCAGTCACCGCTTCCATCAAAACCTCCCAAGGCTTTCCCTTCCACTCAAGGCAAAGCCAAAAGGCTTGTAATGACCTCAGGCCTTTATGATCTGCCATCTAACATCCTCTGACCTCATGCTGCCATGCTCCTAGCCTGGTCCTTTGAGCTTAAATGGGCCTCTTCTGTGATCCTGGAACAAACCAGCAGGCTCTCGCTCCTGGGGCTCTGTTCTTCCCAGTGGTAGCCATGTGGCTACAGGTCTGTGCTAGTCTGAGTGTGCTGCTGCCACAGAACACCACAAAATAGGTAACTTATTAAAACAGAAATGTTTTTCTTACCATTCTGGAAGCTGGCAAGTTTGGTGTCTGGTGAGGGGTGATGCTCTCTGCTTCCAAGTTGGCGCCTTGTTGGTAAGTTCTCACATGGCCAAAAAGAAAAGGGCAAAAGCACCTTGCTAATCCCCTCCGGCCCTTTTAGAAGGTTGCTAATCCTACTAAAGAGGGCTCCGCCTTCATAACTGGCTATTTGTTGGTGGCTTGTTATTTTAAATGACACAGTAATTTTATATCTTTTTGAGGTACGGTGTGGTTTTTTGGTGCATAAACACAATGCACTACATAAATCAGGACAATTCATATATTCATCGTCTCAAACGTTTGTCATTATTTTGTGTTGGTAGCATTTAAAATCCTCTCTTCGAGCTATATTGAAATATACTAACTTAATTACCTCCTAAAGGCCCCACTCTTAATACTATGACATTGGGGTTTGAGTTCTAACATACGAATTTTGGAAGGAAACACACATTCAAGCCATAGCAAGATCATTTCTCGAAAGTTGTCTGCAAAGGGCTGGAACTGGGGCTTAGTGGTTAAGGTAACAGAATTTCACATGGCCAACCACATAGTTTGAATTCCACCCCCAGCAGCCTGAAAAGAACATACCAGGTGCTTGTGCACATATGCCCCAAATCCCGGCAGGATAAAGAAATGGAGAGGCAGAGGTTGTAGCATGACCATACTCACTAGTGGAGTGCTTTTCTCCTCTCCCTCTCGCTCTGGCTCCCTCTCTTTCTCTGACATGTACACATGCCCTCTGACAAATTTAAAAAATTACCTTTTTATCAAGACCTTCCTAGTACTCCTATCCCAAATTTCAACCCTTGTCCCTACCCCCAATACTGGCTTTTCCCTTTT